CGGGGCGGGACCATTTAATTAATGACGGACAGGAGCAGGACCGCGGCGCGGGCGGGCTGTACAACACACCGTGCGAGGCAAGGAAGGTCGAGGGCTAGGCCAGCGGGCGACAAACCCGACAAAAAAATAATACCCGCAGCGGTCGGCACGGGCGAAAAAGAAGTATACATACAGCAGGAAAGTACATAAAAGTAAGGCGCGGTGCCTAAACAGTTTGCGCAAGCACGATTTGGAATGCCTATACGCTCACATTATATTAAAGGTTTTTGGCAATCGGTATACTTCAAACTGTAAAAAGTATACGCTACGGATAAACTTGTAGCAGCAAAGGCCTGGAACACCAAGTAAGGAATAGCGTTTTCCCGGGGGGTTGCGAGTCCCACCTTATGCCGTCACCTGTCGGTGGAATAAGGCAGTCGAGCGAAAGGTCGCACATCTTTTCCGGTTCCGGTGCACACGGTCCGTGTCCGTACGCGACAAGACTGCATCTGAGCCGCGGCCGCTGCTACCGCTGCCGCGACGCGCGTACGTTGGGCTGCCAGCCCGTCGGGCGTTGGGTGGGCCAGAAGGCCAGCCGCGCGCCGCGGCCGCTTCGGGACTCAGACTCGACTCACCCCCTGAGGCAGAGATGCAGCATGCGCGGCCGGAGCACGACTTCTTCCGAGGAAGGCATGCCCAGCGGCGGGCCGAGGCCGGGCCGAACACGGGGCCGCCGGAGGAGGGCGCTGGGCACGGTGCGAGGCTCAGCGCGGAGTACAGCGAGGGGCACGAAGCCGGGCACGGCGCGGGGCAAACCTAGAGCACGGCGACAAGCACGGCACGGGGCACGGCGTAGAGCACGGCGGAGGGCAAGGCGCGGACGACAGAACGGCGCGAGTCACGGCACGGGGCACTACGGCGTGCGGGGCGGTGAAGAGCTCGGCCCGCCGGAGCCACCTGCCTGAGCGCGAGCTGCGCTGGCGGCCGAGCCGGGGTGCGACTCCAGGCACGTTACACAGCAGGATTGCCGGCGGGAAGCGCAGGGTGGGGGGCGCTATAGGGAGGAATGGCGGGGTGGGGGTGCAAAACGGTCGAGGGGCGGGGCCCCGCCGTGGTGACCTCCAGCGGGCGGCGAGGACGAGGCAGGCCGGGCCGGCGATGATGAGCAACCTCGGCACCGCCGCCGCCAGAAGGGGACCCCGCCTGCCGCTCGCAACCTGTGCACCGCACGGGCTTTAATTCAGCGTCGACACGAATTTCAAACACCATAGCACCCGCTAGAAACAATACACAAGCTCGCACGTGTCGGGGTGGAGCGCGGGGAGGTCCGGCGGGTCCGAACAGCGGGCAGCAGAAATAGCACTGGCCAAACGCCGTCCACCCGCAATCGAATCGGACAGCGCGCGAAGAAGGGCGTCGCGGAGGGCAGCAAGGGCGTTTTGGGCCAGGGGGACGTCATATAGGGCGCCACAACGAAAAAGCGGCCTGGACCAACAAGGAACACTACACAAGACGGCTACATCTTGCGCGAGACGGCGATGCCAATCCCCCCCACCCCCCACC